TAATGTCCACAAACAATGCACACACACTCCAACACAACCCTTTTTTTTATGGTGATACGACGTCATTATTTCCTGAAATATGATTCCACTAGGCCACTTCTGACTGCGTTTGCCGACAGACAAAGTTGAGAAAGAGAGAAGGGGGGGGGGGGGCGTTGCCTGCTGATGAGCCCATTATGGTGGGTTCTGTATGTCAGGCCGACTTAAAGGCGACTTCCACCTGACAGCCGGGCCAGGCTTAATGGGGTCGGCAGTGCAGCGACTTGAAGAGGAGAATCCCGGTGTGTGGATATTTCACCCCTCTCAGCCGTTTACCCTCTCCGTCTTTAACCTACTTTTCTTCCAGATACCTTGATTGAAATCCAGGAAAACTCAAACTATTTTTGAAAACGAAGAACTATCAATATTTCATGGAGATGGCTGCTCATCCGGCTGCATGAGCGTATCCGTTGGAAGCTTTTCCCGGCAAGTGGATATTGATTAGTATCGGAACCAAGACTCTTTTGTTTTCTGTTTTTCTTAATCTGTGAAGAGATGGAGGCTCCCTGGAGAAAGAGTGTGTTTGCACCGTGCACAGTTTTCAACAGCTTTGACTTATTTCGACAACATATTCCTCTCCTGGTCTGAAGCCTGCTGGTTTTTAAAGAGAGGCTACATTTTAAATCAATTGAGTAGTCAGTCAACATAAACTCCTACGCTTAATCGTTTATCAAGATTGTTTTGGATGAAGTCATTCGTCGATCAAAAATGCATTTACTTGTTTCAGCATCTCAAATGTGAGGCTATGCAGTTACGTTTCCATTCAGTGTGTATCCTTGACGTCTGATACACGTTGAATCCTTCCAAAGCTGATTCATACATTTTGTTTTAATCCTGCATTGTTCATGTGTTGTTCTTCTTTGCTACCTTTGATGGCACGTTGCTACTCTTCTTTGCTTGTTACGGCCTTCAACCGTCTGTCAACACAATAATGCGAGACGAGTGAGAGCAATGTGTCTTGTGTGCAAACAAACAGGGAAACCACAAAAAGTTGCTCTATAGCGCTGCTAGGGATAATAGTAATACATTTAATTTAATAGGTGCTTTTCAGAAAACTCAAGACACTTTACAAAGGCAATAAAGAAAGTAGTTTACTCCACTGTACTTCTATGTGCAATGGTTAGTTCAGCTTGTAAATATAACATTCCTCTTCCCCTCAGTCCTTGTGTGACTCAATGAAAAGCACGACCTCAGTGAACTGTATTGATTTGGTCAAACAGACACGACTTTAGAAGTATTTCTGTTGCAACTTGCAGCGTACCTACGTCATGGTGGTAGAGGGAGTGTGTGTGTGTGCCTGTTTGGATACGAGTGTCCGTGTGTGTGTGTGTGTGTGTGTGTGTGTGTGTGTGTGTGTGAGAGAGATGTAGTTCACGGAGCCTTCCCTGTTTGATCAGTACAGTAAACTTGGCAGACTTCATCAGATGTGATAGACTATGCGTCCCTCTATCTGCTCTGTCGTCCTGTGGTATGTGAAAACACCTTATCTGTGTGTGCTGTCTCTGCTGGGACTTTTCCAGGAAGTCCTTCCCTCTCTAAACACACACTCACACCGAATGTCAGCGTTCATCTCAAATACAACCATCAGCTGCATGCCACAGCTCCGCCGTTTCTCCACCAAAGCCTGTAACATCGCTGTAGACGGAGTGTGATGGAAGTTGGCACGCCACCTCACACCGCAGCTGTGTAAGCTTGGCACGGAGGCAGCGTGCTGTCTGTGAACATTACTTGATATATTGTTTGAGGTGGATGTTGGGGATGACTCTGCTGGTGGTTCCTACCCATCTGCTGCCTTTTTATCCTGGTTTTATACACGTGAAACAAATTCTCAGCCTCCGAGAGAGATTGTCTGAGACCACTCTCTTATGCAGAAGAGACTTAATAACAATCTGTTGTGCCATATATCCAGATGATGGAAGAATGAATAATGAAGTTGGGCTAATTATTGTGTCCATAATCGGTAAATCAAAAGTTCTCAGAGACCAATACGACGTATTTAAGTTGCTTGTTTGGTTCCAGTTGTCCAGAACTCAATATATTTAACTTATAATCATGTAAAACAGAGAAAAACAGCAAAGCTTGAACAAGCCAATGTTTTGTATTTTTGCTCAATAAATAACTTTAAACTTTGAAATGATCAATCATCTTTTATGTTGATTCATTTTCTGTCTTTGGACCAACTATGTAGACCTTCACCCTGTGTTGAGACGGAGCATGAAAAGATAAAAAGAATAAGACGCTGTGATTGAATATGAAATATCTCTGTGGAGGGGAGATGGATGGTTCTCCAGTCTAGGCGGCTCAAATTGAGGTGAAGAGGTGAAGTTTGATCCATCGTGAGGCGTTTGGACAGATACGATGAGGTAAAAGCCAGTCCTCTGGCAGCAGCTGTTTCTCCTGGAGCCTGTCCATTTCTCTCCAGCGTTGTATTAACGGCTGAAGGGAAAGCCACTGGGCTGCGACCTCTAATACGGTGTCTCCATTCAATTCCCCAAAGGAGCCATCGATTCTACTGACAACCTGGTGAAATGAAAAACATAACGTATGATGGACTAGAAACAATAACACTGGAGTGTATTGTCATTGTCTCACCGTCCCTTGTTGTTAAAGCAAGTTTAAATATAGTGAGATATTTTTTTTGATGAAATCTAGATCCAAAAGTATTAAGTGCATCTGTACAAAAGTGCAGTCAGAGCAAAGTGTCTTGTTGGACAGCAGAGACGTCTGACTGTAACATCCTTACTCTCAGGGTTCACTCCAGCATCCGTACCAATGCACTGACTTGTCATACAGACCATGTTTGTGATCGGGCCTTCAAGGGAGTTGTCTGTGGATTTGTCCCACTGTGGGACAAATCCGGGATGTCCGGGATCCAGGATGTCTTCAGTGCATCCTGCTGCTGTGTCCTTGAGGATATTTCTTTCTTCCAGCGGCAGGTGTGCTCAGTAAGGAGGCATTCAGCAGTGGATTTTGACTTTAACACAAGAAGAGTAATGGTTTTCATCTGCGTGGGAGGTGTTTATCTCTTTACTTTATGTTCAAGCGTAATGTGTTCATGTGCAAAAACACTCAAGAGCACGCCAGACACCATGTAAATCCATAATGCATACGGCTCAGTTAGATGCACTTAACGACCTCGTATGTAACGTTGATGGTGTTTCGGTATCTTACTCAAGCTGACATTACCCACAGAGGTCCACATCTATAGCTAAGTGTTTGGTTCTTTTCCTCCTGTCTGTAAAATGTAATGCAAGGGGGCATTTAAAGCAAAATGATTCGTCCATGTCCCACCCTGCCTATCCACAGCCTGTCTAGCGGCGTTATTGTGTTTGACCAGCCTTTCTGTCTCTCTGCCTCCTGCCTGCCTGTCTGTCTGTCTGTCAGCTTGAGCCACCTGCAGCTGAGACAAAGGTGAGTCTGATGAAGAGAAGGATGGCAGCAGTGGGATGAGGAGGGTCAAACATGGAGGAATTACCTTGGCTCATCTTCTACAGGCTCCTTGATTTAACATTATTGAAAGATCCCATTTTTACTTGGCTCCAGTACTGCAACAGGCTATGAAGACCACACCACACACACACACACACACACACACACACACACACACACACACCATTACGCAGGTGTAGGTATGCTTAATCGACTCTAGAGGTGGACCGTCCCTTAAGATAACAAACTTTTGACATCTGGTATGATAACATTGTGCTGCACGGGGGCCTGCCTTGACACACTATTGAGATGGCTATTGATGAGTAAGTTCACTGAGGTAGTTGTTCAAGCAAGGAGGCGCGAGTGGAGCAGCTGTTGAGTTTAAATTGGAAGATGCCAGTCAGACTCCTTCCCTTGTTTCCAAGACGTGTTTTCTAATTAGCAACGATCATGAGTGCAGCTTGCCATGAAAAGTCTTTGTTCTCAGGCAGAGGTGTATGAGCTGGAATGAGCGGGTGTGAAAACACTTTGAAAAGAAAACATTTGTTTCTTGTCTAGTCTATTTAAAATCCATACATGAAGATTAATTGGTTAGATTATTATTCTTACCACATACTACCGCAGTGTTGTCACAGACATGTTCTTCCAAGTTCCAGTTGTTCTGTGATTGGCATTTAAAACTGGGAAAAATAAAAATGTGCACACTAAATGTGGTTTCCTGTGCACCGTGACCTCTTAGCTTGTAACTGTAGCATGTTATTGTGACTGTGTGGTATTCATCCAGCCGTAGTCCAAGTCACACTTCTCCACAGAGATGTGGGTAAATAGAGCAGAAAACCCGTCTCTCTCACACAGCTTGTACTCCGCATCACGAGGGCAAATAAAAGATTTAAGTGTGTGTGCGCACGCATCACATCGAGAGAGAGAGAGAGAGAGAGAGAGAGAGAGAGAGAGAGAGAGAGAG